GTGTTCTCACCGGTCGTGTTCGATCGCTCGACAGACTCCCCCATTTCACCTTGTGAAATCGTCGGGGTTCTTCTGTCTTCGCCGAGCTTCTCAAAAAAGGAAGTGCCAAGGCTCAAGGCATTGGAACATTCTGGCACTTCTGGCGGTAATATTCCGCTCTCAACTTATCCACGCTCCAGCCTTTGCCGGCATGCCGCTTTTGAATGCGGTCCCAAGGATTCTGTGGATCCTCTGCACTGATGCTGGGGTCAGAGCTCTGCGGCCACCGAGCTCACCGCCGCAGCACTTGCCCTTGAGCTCTGGGCGGATGAGACCACCTCATGCACCATGGCTGCAACTGCCTCCATCTTCCCTCCACCGCGCACTAATAGCAATGCCTCCGTGGCGCGACCCACCGTCAAGGCTTTGCAGTACGAGACCAATTCTGCCTCTGCAGTGCTGTGGGTCACAAAAGGTTGCGAAGAGCTCTGTGAGGAGATAGGTGCCCCTCCAAGGTAGACCACCAGTCCCTATATGGCCTGAGCCCGTGCTGTAGGCAATGTCGGCAAAGACCTCTATCAATTTTTCACGCCTGGGAATCTTCAACTGTCCACGAGCTCCCCACAAGTTCTTGACCTTCCTGGCATAGTGAAGTTTGCCGGGATTCCCCTTGACGTAGGACAGGAGTACATGTGCAATCTCTATGGCCTTCCTTGGATTCTTCCACCACACAGTGTTCTCACCGGTCGTGTTCGATCGCTCGACAGACTGGGAAACAATTGCGCATGGAACCAATGACGGTCTCAAAGGCCAACTTGCCTTGTGTCTTCCCTGCCAGCCACAATTGCTTTCTGATCCTCACTCAATGCCGAATTGTAAAGAACTATCCAACCTCACGCTTCTGTCGGAAATTCAACGTTGACATGACGTTTGCACTTGCTAAAGGTTTCCTGAGCTCTGGCCGTCCTGGTGACCATGCTCTCGCCGTCTTTCATTTCCAACCGAAAAATTTTGGGAGGCACTCAGAAAGCCAATCGTGAGTCAACTTGTCTGGAATTCGCTCACAAGAACGGCCCAAATGTGTTTGTCGCCATTGCCCTCCTTCAGCTGATCCAAGGAAAGGTGTTCGACAGCTTCCAGACCAACTCCGTCGAGCAAACAAAACACAAATGGTGCCCTCTGGGTGGCTTGAAAGTCCTTTGTGGATCTTCGCTCTCTTCTGGCCATAGCCTTTGGTGGAACCAGCCATGGCGCTACACACTGCTTTCCTGTCCTAGCCCTACCTAGACTGGAAAGCCCAGATGCCCCTGTCGTGGTGACGGGGGCTCCGCTACCAATTAAGAAACCGCCAGGGCGTGGTGTGCTGCTCCTACTCGACCGTTCTCCGTCAAAACATGTGGCCTCTTTTCCACAAACTTGCCTGAGCTTCAAGGTGCCTACGTTGAGGCCGTCAATCCACCCTGCAAGACATGCCTACACACTGCTTTCAAACTTGCACGGCGCACGCTCAGTCAGCTCAGAAGTCGTATATAGTTCTAGCGGCTGGGCCCACCTGTCCGGCCTTTCCTTTCTTTTGGTTTCCACGCTCCATGCCATTCAGTTCATGAGTACATAGTATATAACTGGTCGCAAGCATCCGCACTTTGACCCTACAATCCGCTGTGGCACAAAGTGTTCTAGGTTATCTAGGATCCCATGCTGGTTCCTGTTGAGACCTTAAATCTTCCATCCTCCCAAAGAAGCAGTTCAACTTCAAGTGTTTGAACTTTGAACCAAGGTTCTGAAAGCTGCAGAAGTTGGTTTGTGGATAAGTTCTCGCGTTGGTTAGAGGTAATAAGGAGGTGAAGAAGGCAAAAGGCAAATCTAAAAGAACAAAAAAGGGTTCTCAGCAACGCGAAAGCGAAGAAAAAGAGGCAAAAGGACGGAAGAGTGCAAAGGCAAAAAGAAGCAGGAAAAAGGCAGAGAAACATGGAACAAGGTGTGGACAGATGTTGACCCCGCCAATTATACTCTTTGTTTGCGCCGTTTCTCTGCCGCTTTCTCCCAGATACAATTGGGGTTTTGTGAAGCAACCCAACCACGTACAGGTGTTCATGATGACACGCACAAATCAAGTGTACCGCAGACCCCTTTGCAGTACCACAAGATCCGCGTGGTAGCGGAGCCGAGGATCACCGCACTTGAAGGTCTGGTGTGAGGCTGGAGGGCCGAGCTTCACCTGGATCTTTGCCTCGAGGTGCCTGAGGCCATAGCGGCTGGCAATCAGAGCTAGAGGGATCTTGGAGAAGGAGATTGGCAATCACTGCCAGAGGCTCCCTCTAGGTAGGTTGCTTGGAAGAGAACGAGGGCGCTTGCTTGCACCTTTTTGGGCCTCGAGCTGGACATCCTGGACTGTAGGTACATCGAGCTCTACGATGGCTGGACAAGAGGGGGTACCAGCCCAAGCGGTTCTGGATGGCGCTGAGGTCGCCGGGAGAATGATGCAGGCTACAGAAGCCGCAAGTGCTGCGGCTCAGGTGGCAGCTCAAGTGCTCCAAAGCCAGCAGCAGGGAAGGCAAGGGAGCGAACCATCATGGTTCAAGACGCTACCGAAACCCAGTGGGTTCAACCCAAGTTCAAGAGAAGAAGAGCTCAGTCTCTGGCGAGACTTCAGTTAGCAATATCTTGCTGCCATGGATGGAGAGTTTGTCAATGACTTCAAGGATCTTCGGGAACGCCCTGAAAGGCCAGTGGACCCTTCCTTATGGGGTGATCGAGAGAAGCAGAGGAGCAACCGTCTCTGCTCCATCCTGGCGTCCTTGGTGAGGCAAAGGCCATTGGCTTTGATCAAACAGGTGAAACAGGCCTACGGGCTGGAGGCTTATAGATTGTTGACCAACTGCCTTGAACCAGCAAGCAAAAACCGGTCGCTAGGCCTACTGACCATGGTTCTGGAGTGGAGTGCCTTTGATGGCAAGAAGGGCAACCTGCTCAATCAGTTGCTCAAACTCGAAGAGGGCTTTGGGGAATACGAGCGAACAGGCATGAAGCTCGACGACCTGGCTACAGCTGAGTGTGGCCGAGACCCAGGACTACAGTAGACTGAGAGAAGCCATCATACAGTATGACAGTGCCACGCTGAAGTGGAACAACGCCATGATGCTGGGCCAGGAGGTGAACAAGGATGGTGCAGACAGGATCATGGAGAAAGGAAAGCCGGTAAAGGCACGGGCAAGGAAAACCCGAAGGGAAAAGGCAAGCGAACAGAAAGGCGGCAAGCGAGGAGGCAAGGGCAAAGGCCAACTGAAGTGCCAAGACCGTGGAGGTGGTGGCAAAGGTCAACAGAAGGGCAACAGAAGTGGAAGCAAGAGAGCAGCAAGGGCTCTGGAAAGTCCTTACAAGCTGTGAAGGAGTGCTTCGTATGTGGCAAACCAGGCCATCTAGCCCGAGATTGTTGGAGGAAGGTGAGACAGGTGGTGGAAAGCCAAGGCTCACCAACTAAAAAGTGCCACCACGGTGACAACAACAAGCCAGGCAACAACTACGAAGCATCCTGGCATCAAGCGCATTGAGTTTGTGGAGGAGGAAGTTTCACAAGATGCAAGAGAATTTGACGAGGTGATGATTTTTGACCTGAGGCCGAATACAGAATACAGGTGATGGCATGGGTGTGGACGGGGCTGGGGAGGGAAGATGGAGGGAGTGAGACGGCGTGGCTTGGGTGTGGACGGGGCTGGGGAGTGCATGGGTGTGGACGCTTGCGCGGCTGATATGCTAGTTACGAGGACATGGTTGCACCACAAGCATCATTGCAGGCTGCTCCGGGTCAGTGCGCAAGTAGAACGAAGCATGGGTGGGGGTAGTGCTGCTCCATGCTTCGCGGAAGCACGTTGGGAGGTGAGTGGAGCTGCGGGGCTTATACGATGGTCTTGGGTGTCCAAAAAGTGCGCAATGCACGCGACAGACGGTCAAGTCGTGGCTGAAGCGGCAGGATTGTTGCGTCGAGCACATGGTTGCACCACCAGCATCATTGCAGGCTGCTCGGGTCAGTGCACGAGTAGAACGAAGCATGGGTGGGGTAGTGCTGCTCCATGCTTCGCGGAAGCCCGTTGGGAGGTGAGTGGAGCTGTGTTGCACCAGAACCGCGATGCTTGAAATATCATAGTTGCCACGAAGCCTGGAGGGGGCTGATGCTTCGTTTTGGCCTGCTAATTTGTGTTTGTTTATTTTTCCTGGGTTGTGCGCTTCTTTTTGCTTTTGGGTCCGCGGGCTCACCTTGTTTTATTGGTCTACCCCCCAAAAAGACACAGAACAATTTCTTTCAGACGTTCTTGATTCGCTGTTGCGAGCGGAATGTCTGCTGTCTACTCTATTCCTTTGAGAAAGATCAAATCACCAGCGATGCCCAGTGCCGTTTGCAATTCATTTGGGCTTGTGGTCCGCATCGCATAGCACCGAAGGTTGTATCCTAGCGCTTGCCAACAGTCTGGCCCAATAGGAATCTATTCAGTGTTTGGGCTGAAGAGGTCTTTCATTGTGCGTGTGCCTTGATGTTGTTGACACCGATGAGTGCACCCTTTCTTACCTTTTGCATTTTCCAGATGCTTTGTGCAGCGATGTTCTCAAGCCAGAAGGAGGAAGCAGAGTTCTGTTGTACAGTGGTAGCACGATTCCTCACCTGCTGATGTTGGCATGTGGTTTCGTGGGTGCTCGGTGTTCTGCACGCTTCACACTTAAAACACTGACACGTTTGCACTCCGTGGTATTTTAGGGCCATGCATCTACACCAGTGTGAGCATTTACACATACGCAGCCCACCACAATGTGGGACGGCATTTGCTGAAACAAAGAAGGATGAACACTGTTTTTTCTTGGAATCTGGTTTTTGCTTTCTGCCCCAGTTGGAAGTGGTTTGGTTTAGCAGTATATAGCCTTCTTGATTGTTCAGCCAGGTTTATTGTGGTCAATAATGTTGTGTACCATGCAATTGAGTCTGGACATTCAAAGTCGACATGGTTGGAGAAATAGCCTTGCGTCCTTAGGCTTGCAGGCGCCAGCTTGGGTACCTTTCTAGTGTATGCTCGAACCTCAGGAATATCAAAGTGCTTCTGCTAGCAGCCGCGTGAACGACATTTAGCAGGATGCACGTGCAACAATTCAATGGAAATGCAGCGAATGGTGAAGGCATCAGGTAGAGGGTTTGGGATATCAATGCTGGACCTAAAGTGTCCACCTAGTATGCAAAATGATGGGACATGCAGAAAACACATTTGGGTTCGGGATTGAGAACAAGTGCTCCAATTGAATGCTGCTTGCTGAGGTTGCCCCTGCCCTCATGATCCTGGGAGCTCAACGTCGCAATTTGGCCCCACGTCCAAAGGCACGATTGAATTGAGGCCTGCAAGATATTCAAACAGCACTTGAGTGGAGGGATTTGGTGGGTGGACTGCGCGAGCAATGCAAATTTTCTTGCTGCTTATGCCTCAGTGCATGGCATTTGAATGCGTTTGAACTTTGTCCATGCAATGCTTGATTTCTGAGGCCGTTGGGCATAGGGTTGGGTGTGATCGGCAGCGTGCACAGCCTCAAGTGACGAGCCTTTAGTGCAAAATGCACAAAAACGGAATTGTTTGGTTTCTATGCAACAAAGACACATTGCTGTCTGGAAAAGGGGCACAAGGGTCTATGTTGCCATACTGCTCAATTCTTGGTTGAAATGATGGCCTTTGCTTCGCACTTCATCAAATACTGTGTCACGACGTGACTGGGCTGCGCAAGCATTTCAATGTCAATCCCCGAATTACAATGTGTCAAACCTACTGCTGCAAATGAAGCTTTCAACATTGTTGAGAGATGGAAGAACACTAAGGCGAGACTTGTAAAGAAGTGACAAGAATTGCAAAGTGAAGTTCTATGGTGTTTGACAACCCTTAGGCTTTGTATATAAGCAGATTCCTGTTCCCCGCAACGTTTTCAGAGCAAAGCTGAGTGGCCCAGAGTGGCCAAAGCATGACGGAGGCGATTTGGGGTTCGGTTTGGGCATTGGTTTTCTTACAAATTCTGCTGCCAGGTTTCTTGGACCAGATGGGACTTCAGCAGCTTGGACACAGCGGGTTCCAAATCGGCCGAGAGCTCATATGACCACTTGGTGAGCGGCTGTTGGAAGGGACTTGCTGGATTTGCAAGGTTGATGGTGCAATCCAAGATCCGATTGGCTATCGGTTGACGATGGAGCTGCTTTGTGCCAACTTGCTTGAAGCAAGCGATGCTTTGTCATTAGTCGTTGACAGTCACAGTGTGCAGGATGATGGTAACGCTGCTGGCAAGAACAAATCAAAAACTGCCAATCAGGAGCTGGGACACAAATTAACACAACAATCAACTCCTATACATCAACAGCATAGGTTGCTATAGTTTGTATAGCGGTCTTTCTCAGGAACTGTTGGAGAAAAAGGCATGGGAAGTTGCTGTGGCTCCAATTCAATCAGTCCAAGCCTCATGCGAACGATTTTGGAGTCCGGAAACCGAAAACCAGAGCTTCATGGCGGAGAGGTTGGGATGAACTTCTTCTTCCTCTGGATGAGCGGGTTCCATGCAGATTTGTCTCATTTGCAAAGGTTGTGCCTGCATAAGTGCGTGTTTGTGATTGAGTTTCCAAACTGGCGAGAGGTGGCCATAATCTTGCCAGGTCTTCTCCAGGCATTTTCACGATTATGATCCTAGGGCCAAACTCTTAGTGCTGCACATTTGACCTCTTGGTTTGTGTCAAACTTGTTGTAAGTTTGTTGCTACCAGAAGCACTTCCATGTCGGAGGTACTGCCTCACATCAATAGTTGGTCAATTCGCCAAAGCAAACGCAGCTTTCCAGAACTTCAAGACTATTGACACAACCTTGCAGGCGAATGTCCCAGCGTTTTGTCTTTTTCCAGCTTGACTCTGAAACTCTAAAAAAGACATCTCTAGAGTTTCCGAGATTCCGACTTTTTGGCAGCACAGCTGTACCTTTTTCACTTCTGCAGTGGCTTGCCTACCTGGCGCTGTGTTCGGTGTCTTTGGCCTACCTTTTGTGCGCCAAAACTCCTGGATGACAGAGTCAGCCTTCTTCAACGGATACCATATATGTGTCAGATGAGTCGTGGGAGCAGGTACCACATGGCTGGGATGGGCCTTCTGCCAAATTCCTCCGGAGACTGGTGGGTATCTCAGTGTCTTCACCAGCCTGGATGTGTAGAACAGTTCTTAGCAAAGGGGGAGCTGGGAGCTGAGGATAGCGTTGATTCCAAATGTCGAAGTTATCGAAACTGCAGGCAGGCTGAAATCAATTCACACAAGACAAGTAAGCCAACCCGTTTCTGCGACAGGTGGCATCGTAAAGTGAGTGTGAAGTGCAGCCTCAGGTGCCCCAGTTTCACAGCATTCATGCATTAGTTACTCATAAGTTGGTATGTATTCATCTAGACTTGTCGTGGTGACCGGGGACCTTGCAAGCTTGTATACCGGGGTTTCCGGGGTGTGTCCCTTGGGATGACTGGCTTAAAATTTACTTCAAAATGAACCATGAGCGGGTGCGATTTATGATAACAATAGGCCTGAGACATTGGAATCATATCGCCGTGTCCGAAGCAGTTTCTGCATACCAGCGGAAGACGAAGCGCAGCGAGAACACAGACAAAAGAATTTGATTGAGTGTCTGAAAGTCCTGATTTGGAGGCCTCAATGACGACAATCCAGCTTGAATAATATGGTTGGAACTCGATCATAGACGATGCTGTCCACAGCCTATTGGCCTATTGGCATAACACTTGCCAAGAGCATTGCTATATGTTTTGGCTACCTTTGTCGTGCTTGTTGGTCTTGGCCCTAGCAAGACATTTGATTCGGGTCCTCGCAGAGTGCGCAGGCACATTCTTTTTCAATCGACTTCTGATCAGATCGATGTTTGCAATGTCAGTACTTGTCCATGCACAGGCGACATTTTAAGAAATCAGATAATCTTTTCAGTACTTTGTTTGTCAGTTCCAAACTGCCAAGTCGGTGCGACTGCGGCACGTTTTTGCTTTGGTCGAAGTTAGCAATGGCATGGCTGCATTGCCAGGACACGGTGTGAAAAAGTTGCCCAAATGCAAGTTTCAACTTTTCCTTTCATTTTGTCGAAGCCTTGCAGGCTGCCTTAGGCAAGAACCTGGCAGTGACAGCGAACAAAGCAGCAGCAGTTTCTTTGCTGCAACAAGGGTTCTTGAATACAAGAGCAAACAGACGTGAAGAGACCCGAGGCGCATGGAAGCTTTGTGTTTGAAGATCAAAGACTCTTTTGGCTACCCCAGTAAAGCTGTTTCCGTACTAATCTCGATGCTTTTGCATTGCTAGCTTAAAGGCTGCAGTTCCCAGTGTCTATAACTTCATCAGGTGGCATTTTGCAGCTTAGGCTCACGTCAGAAGTTCTTGTGGGAGAAGGTTGCACGTCAGCAGAGCCCTTTTACAGACATGTTTTGTGCGTTTGCAGTGCTGTGTGCTGCACAGAGCTTTCCTTTGTGATGCAGACTTGTATGTCCCGTCCAATGTGACTCAGAAATTCTTTTTGAATGGTTGTTCTGAAGCACAGCGAGGCTTGTTACTCTTTGGAGTTCGCCATGCCCGCGTGTGCATGCATGCCTTCCAACTCACCAATGGCACAGCGTCATCAGGACCAAACGTCCAAAGAGATGATACAAAGCTGCGCACAGGCAGGCAGGCAGCCAGTGCCATGCCAGCGCAACACGTGAAGGCCCCCAAGCAAGCTCAGGAAGACACCTCCCCAACAAAAATTGATGTGACAAGCAAGCCCCCAGTTGGAGACACACCAGTTGTCACACTGATAAGAACAGATACTACACTTGATCATGGCCACACACAGCAACGTCAACAGCAAAAGAGCTTTTCGACTGGCTCTAAGGCCAGCGCCGAGGGGACAGCGATGAGCGTTAGTGATTTGAGTGCTCCTGAGAGGTGGGTTGATGATATAGAGTTACTAGTAGCTTCTTGTTTCTAGTAGCGATGCCAGGAGCCCCTAGTAGCGTCCTTGCTCATAGTAGCAATGCCCTTTGCTACTTGTAGCTTCTTGTTGCTAGTAGCGATGGCCTCCACCTAATAGCGTCCTTTATTGTGAAAGATCCCAGTGTTTGTGATTTCATGAGTGATGTGTGCGTGCGATTGGCTTGGCGAAATTACGTCTTGGAGGTCGCAGGGGCCATCCAGAAATGGTGGCGCCATCCAACAGTTCACCCTTTCACCGTCCAGAACTCACATCAAGTCTATCACCGCACTCGTACCGGAAATCAGGTCACCAAGACACCTACCACCAACTGAATGCAACTCACGACCACAAACAATAGCATACACCAAGTCACCAACATTCAGATCACTAACATCTGACTATCTTGGAAGAAGCAATTGTGAAATCCGCACTCAAAGCACCAACGACTAGGAACCACCCCATGCTTTACGGGCTTCAGCGTCTTCGTCTCCTTCTTCTTCTTGTTTAGCATGCATTATTCAAGAGACAGCAACAGAAGGGTTAACATGCGGGCTTTACATGTGAGGTTGTCCGGTCTTGGCTCCTTGTGAATGATTTTTTGCTGCCACGAAGCCTGTTCTGGTTCGTGCGTGCAAAATGTGCATGGTTGCTGAATCTTTGGGACAAAGAAAAGCAACATAAAACATTCTTAGAATGCAATCCTCTTCACCCCTTGGGATGTCTCCTCCTGTGGATGACAGAAAACACACACCGAGTATACAGACAGTATTCAACTCCGGGACCTGGCCATTGCTATTAGGTTGGAGGCCACCGCTGTTGGATTGGAGGCCATCACCAATACTAGGCCGTTACTAGACCATCGCTACTAGGGTGGAGGCCATTGCTTCTATGTTATTCAACTCCGCCCTCCTTGCACTGAAATCTGGGTGCGGAGTACAGATGTTAAATCCCTTTGTAAATCGGTTTTTAGAGCCGTTTTTCACGGTGCATGCAGGGTTTTGTGACTGTGCCCGAGCCATCAGATCGGGGTGTGGGCCATACTGCTGGCCATCAGGTTCATAGAACTTGTTATCGGATTCATAGAATGTGCCATCAGATGCAAAGAATCTGCCATCGGATTGATAGAACTTGTCATCAGATTGATAATGATTCATCCAACTTGTCATCGGGTTCATAGAACTTGT